TGACAAACGGACACAGCCAACCACAATGTCGTATGCCTAGAGATATTTAGAGATATTAGAGACTTTATAAACAACGACATATGATTAGTTGTGTCCGTTTGTCAGGTCTTAAAGGATAGCAACCTTTGACTTTGAGAGACTGACAGCTGTACCATTTGATACAGTAACATTGTTTCTCTCTGTAGTCGCCGTGTGCTCGGGATCGCGCCAGAGATGTCGCTTCCGAACGGCATCTCTGAGCGTTATCTAGGAAGAGGAGAGTGTCGTGAGCGTGGAGCGTCAGGTAGCTCAGTGGTTTAGAGCAATCGCCCGGCAAGCGAAAGACCCGGGTTCGAGTCCCGGCCTAGCAGGACCGCGCTCTCGATATTTTTCTCTTTCCGGAACGAAAAAGTTACGAAGATCTCGAACGCACGGCGTCCCGCCGCCACCTAGTATGTCCTCCTCCTTCTATTCTAAACTAACCAACCAAACGCTACTGTGGTTATGAAACGAAAAAACGCCTTTGTTAAATCGATTTCCGAACGAGTCATAGCACGTTCGATAGCTGCAATGTTGAGCATGAACATTCTAACGGGGTTTATGCAAGTGGACCTTTGTGAGAAATAATAGTATAAAGTTTAAATCGCGGAGCTATAGCGTAAAGGTTAAAGTTACGGCTTTTTTTCAACGTGGCTGAACTAAAACTCACACGCCGAACATTTTTGGGCCGGCGGCGAGCGTTCGAATCCCGTCGACAACTTGTCCGTATGCGGTGTTTTTTTTATTTTTTCTTACCTTAGAACATGTAATTAATGCTTTCCCAGTAATACATTAGTTTTGGGCCGGCGGCCCAAAAATGTTCGGCGCGTGAGCTTTAGTTCGCTCAGTCACGCCGCCTCACTGAAAGAGAACCGCAACTTTCGGTCTATACACTACAGCTCCACGACCCAAAATTTATACTATAATTATAGTATAAATTATACTATAATTTCTCACTAACAAAGGGCCACTTGCACGAATCACATTAAAATATTGATGCTCAACATCGCAGTTATCGAACGTGCTATAACTCGTTTGGAAATCAATATAGCAGGTTGCAGCATCTCCTTGTTAGATTGGCACTTCTTATGCGGGTGTTACTCCCCGTCCATTTGTATGCACACATACATACATTGATGTAAGATCGTCGAATTTACTGGATGTCAAACGTAGCTCTATATAAAGCTCTATATGAATAGGATAACACATACAAACGAGTGTTGCATACGTATTCACTTCGATTCATAGTCGTAACATAGACTGAATATAAAAGTCGAGTTGTGATGATAATGAAAAAGAGATGGATAGCAAAACTCGTATTTTCGTTTTTCTTTTAGCGCTCAATCAGAAAGATAAAAGTATTCGGTTTTCGCCTGTCCTCTCTATTTATCTAATATTTTATGTTTGTTTTTAGCCGAGTTTCGCTGCTGAAAAATTGAACATGCTCGGTCTATTAATGAAATTTAAGGTGTAGTAAAAAGAAATCCATTATTTTTCCAATAGATGGCTTTAGTAATGTGTATCTCGCGTTGTATAAATGCGATCGGTTTACGCTAAATGGCGTTAGAAAGATAAGATTTCGTACTAAAAAAACTTCTCAGACAGTTTTGTGATTGTTTGACTCAGTATTGTTTGAGCGCGCGTCAAAGATGGACACCAGCAAAGAGAAAATACGCCATATTTTACAGTTTTTCTTCGATAAAGGCGAAAACGCAAGCCAGGCGGCTGAAAATGTGAATAGTGTTTATGGTCCTGATACTGTAACAGCCAATCACGCGCAATTTTGGTTTCGTCGATTCCGTTCCGTAATTTAATGTCAAAGATGGTAATTTTGATGTCAAAGATGCACCACGCTCTGGAAGGCCAATTGTCGAAAATGTCGATAAAATAATGGAAATCGTCGAGTGCGACCGTCATGTAAGCACTGTTTCGATTGCCCAGGAGCTAAACATTGCACAAAAAACCGTTTGGAACCACTTGAATAAGGCTGGATACAAAAAGAAGCTCGATGTATGGGTGCCACACGAGTTAACGCAAAAAAACCTCATGGACCGAATTTCCATCTGCGAATCGCTGCTGAATCGCAACAAAATCGACCCATTTCTGCAGCGGATGGTGACTGGTGATGAAAAGTGGGTCACTTACGACAACGTCAAGCGAAAACGGTCGTGGTCGAAACGCGGTGAGCCGGCGCAAACGGTGGCCAAGCCAGAATTGACGGTCAGGAAGGCTTTGCTGTGTGTTTGGTGGGATTGGCAGGGAATCATCCACTATGAGCTGCTCCCCTACGGCCAAACTCTTAATTCGGACCTGTACTGTCAACAATTGGACCGTCTGAAGGAATCAATCGCCCAGAAGCAGCTAGCTTTGGCCAATAGAAGAGGAATTGTGTTCCATCAGGACAACGCCAGGCCACACACATCGATAGTGACTCGCCAGAAGCTCCGGGAACTTGGGAGGTTCTTATGCACCCACCATATAGTCCGGACCTGGCACCAAGTGATTACCACCTGTTCCTGTCTATGGCGAATGATTTTGCTGATGAAAAATTCGCCTCAAGAGAAGCTTGTGAAAATCGACTGTCCCAGTTTTTTACCAATAGGGACAAGGGTTTCTATGAGAGAGGCATAATGGAATTACCTTCAAAATGGCAACAAGTTATCGAACAAAACGGAGCATATTTGACCTAAATCGGATCATTCTAACTATGCTAAATAAAGCCTTCAATTTTATGCAAAAAAAATGGATTTCTTTTTACTACACCTTATATATTGGCCCCCAAGTACCGATTATACATATACACGGTTCTCGAATGTGTGCGCTATCTGCGGAGTTAGAATGTAAAGTGTTACTTGTAATACTGTTTTTTTTTTTTTTTTTTTTTT